TCGCAGGCCTGTGATATCCAAAGAAACCAAAATGATGCTAAATCTTTCTAGCCAAATGGAGTCAAAGTCAATAACCCGTGCTGATCATTATCTTTCGTAATACCTTTTGCTTCGCTTTTGTGGTTTTTCATTTGAGTGAACAATTAAAATTCGAGTTCTCAGAAACTTTATCACCACAGAGCACAGCTGCACAGGAAAAATAACAATAGGAGATAGCCTGTTAACAAAACAAACATTCTTCATGTTAAATTTACCGAAACTTTTTCTTTCTTCGGTCTTTCAAAACGTAGAACGTGTTTTGTTTTTCGACTCTTCTTGTTTCACGTTCTATCGATATATTGTTGCTCATCATTAATCTTGTTGAAATTGATTGTTTGAACCTCAATATCGTAATGATCGTTATAGTAAACATTTATTTTTTTTCTTTCTGATATCTTTCTCCAACTAAGTGGTAGACATACAAGGTACAGCACGGGTCTCGGGGAATCATTCTCAGATGCAGGTGCTGACTGGGATTCGCAAGAGTTGATGAGAGGGTACCAGTACTTTTTGGATGAGAGGCGAAGACGACGAGAACCAACGATTCGAAAACCTAGATCGTGGCACCCTTCTCCTTACGGCTCAGAGGATGAAGATGATTTGCTGACACGTGATGAAATTATTAAAATTAAAGGACACACGGGAAAAGGAGATTCTTACACAGAGGATACTGGCAGGTTGCGCAAAGAGTTGAGAAAACTTGCAAGGAAAAGAGAGTCCTATGAGAAATTTGGTGAGATCTTGTTCGGGAAATTAGTTATTCATATGTATAGCGACACTCATTACACTTTTATGCTTCATATTACTACTTATACATCTATATTAAGTCGTAAGTCTATAATGTAATTCTTCATTTTAGGTTATCGTGGCGAAGTCGGAACTAGAGATTATTATACCACTTCTTATCAAGGAGAGATCCTGATGTCTCCTAGACGACGCTTGCGAGACGCGCAAGGTAACTTGGGATTTCCTCCTTCGAGTACTTTTCATTCGTATGACATGTTGTATCGTGGAGGACCGTCGTCATGGACGAAATATGATATGGGATCTTCCAAGCCACAGACATCGGGAGGTTATAGCCACGTTGCAGTCCCAGCTAGCTACTCAACTCCCTCACTTTCCAGGTACATGTAAATTAATTTTGTATAATTTCATTATATAGTTACTCAGTTCTTCTTTAATCAACGGAGACTCTAAATTAAGAAATCAACAAATATTTTTCCAGTTTTGTTGTCTATACATTTCATTTCATACTTTCGGTACATAGTCGAACAACAATATCAGGTTATACTTTTGTTGCTGAGCAACATGACATAAAAGCCATTGTTGGAACGTAATGTAACCAAAACGCACTGGCTTTTCTATATACTAAAGTTGTTAATCTAACTGATTTTTACTGATATTTATTCTATGAATACGTCACGAATTCATTTCATGAATGATCTTAATTTTGATTGGCTCACAAAACAATTTACCAACGTTTGACTGCCTTTTCTGCCTCTATCTTGGTCAAGCTTGATTTCGCAAAATTTATTCATTTCAGTTAGCTATGAAACGTGAGCTTAAGGTATACTATGGGGTGGGGGGTGGTAGTACTTGCCCCATAGTTATTGGCGGGCTATACACTAGTAGTATTGTATAAATAGTGGACAAGTGCGACTGTGTGTTGATTATATATAATACTATGATATGCTTGTATCATAGTATTATATAAGAATTATAATTACTCAGCTTTCTTCTTTTTCAAATATGTGGATGTCAGTGTTATACGGGGTTGAGTGCGATTTTGAATATGCAAATCAGCAATACGTGTAACAGTTGCGGTGATGTAAAGTCGCGGTGTAACAAAATGTATCAGAACCATATCCCGGTTTTGGGATGTGTATGTAACAGTCCTTTCCGACCCAAAATACTCGTAAGCTCAAGTCATAAAGATTTGTTGAGATTAAGTTCTTTAAATTTGCCCCCCAGTGGCACAGCGCTATGTCTGCGGACTTATACTGCTAGAAACCGGGTTTCGATATCCGTGGTGGGCAGAGCACAGATAGCCCTTTGTGTAGCTTTGTGCTTAATAATAATAAACAAACAAACAATCTTTAAATTTACAAGACGGGAATATCCTTTACACTTAAGGACATTGGAAAATAAAGAAATGTGGATCAACTTGAGACGTCAAGACCAACTAGGAAGTGACCTGCAACAAGTATGTATGCCATTTCATATGAAAACATACCGGTCAAGTGGCCAGACGCAACGACTATGCATTTCTGTGCGATTTAACTTTTGAATTTGGCGCTGAGAAACTTTCATCCTCATACACTAAATGGACTATGGAAAGGCCAGGGAGGAGGAGGTATTTTGAACATGTCCGCTTTATGACGAAGACTTTTGTCATTCTAATTACGCTGCAGAGTTATTTTCAAGATGTACGATCGTGAAATAGATCATGACCGGACGTGGTGGTACGAGTTGTAACGATGTGGTGACGTTCGAAAATCATTTAGTATAACGTATTTCACCTCTGTATAAACACTGTGGAATTTTTATTTTTGCATTACTCGCAAGTTGAGTTAAACCCGGGGTGCTCTACCAAATGAGCTAAAGAGGTGGGATTAAACTCGGGGTGTTGTACCAAATCAGTTATAGAGTTTGCCCAGTTTACTCAAACTACTATATAGTAACTCAGTTATATTTAAATTTTATTTTATTTGAGTTTATGATGAGTTCAGACGTATTCATAATTATTTAACACAACCAAAATTCTTGGATACGATAAAAAATTAAACATTTTAGTTGTTAAGGTATTATTTAATATATAGGTAAAGGGTGAGTTATTTTATATTTTTTGTGTTTAACTTTTAACTTCAGTTTACATCTTTGATGTTAATGACCTGCCATTCATCATTTTTATAATGCTGAAAATACAATTACCTTTTTTACGCTTTTAACTATATATTTTAAACGTAACTGTTTTACACGTGGTTCTTGCACTAGTATGTTATCACTTAGTTTTCTAACACAAGTGTATACGTATGTGTATTATTCGTTGGCAAAGAGTAGCCTAAGAGTTGGTGGTGTTGACTATCCGCCTTCCCTGTAGTGTACTATTTCTAAATTAGAGACGACTAGCGCAGATAGCTTTCGAGTAACTTTGCGCAAAATTCAAAACCAAAGATATATGTATATATTAGTTAGAATGATTTTTTTTTTTATAATTATCAGACATGGTTACGTTCGAAAGCCAGAAGTGCTTTGGTATGGCAGCGAACCTACAAGTCCTTCAGCCCGATTTCCTGAAAATACAGAAGAGGATAATAGTATCGCTAGAATTGCTTTAACATTCCCAGCAAATGGAAACACGACCTCCAGAATACACCGCCATAACCGCCTTCCAATTGACTCTTTTCTGGACTTTTCGCCCGCAACACCAGACTCGGAAACTCCACCAGAGGTGCCCGAATTCACTCCAGCCATGCCAATTCTTCCCGACATGCCTTCTCGTTCTCGAAAACTTCTAGAAGATCTAGGTAGTGCTCCTATTGTTGGACCTCGCTGTAAGTATTCTTGGATATAACTAGTTAATTGTTAAAATATTCTTGGATATAACTAGTTAATGGTTAAAGGATTCTTGGATATAACTAGTTAATTGTTAAAATATTCTTGGATATAACTAGTTAATTTTTAAAATATTCTTGGATATAACTAGTTAATTATTAAAATATTCTTGGATATAACTAGTTAATTGTTCAAATATCCTTGGATATAACTAGTTAACTGTTAAATATTCTTGGATGTTTCTAGTTAATAGTTAAAGTATTCTTAGGTATAACTAGTTAATTGTTCAAGTAATCTGGATATACTAATAAATTGTTAAAATATTCTTGGATATACTAGTTAATTGTTAAAATATTCTTGGATATAACTAGTTAATTGTTAAGATAGTCTTGAATATAACTAGTTAATTGTTAAAATATTCTTGGATGTTACTAGTTAATGGTTAAAGTATTCTTAGGTATAACTAGTTAATTGTTCAAGTAATCTGGGTATACTAATTAATTGTTAGAATATTCTTGGATATTCTAATTAATTGTTAAAGTATTCTTGCATATACTAGTTAATTGTTAAAGTGACGTGTGGAAGTCTTTTGTCTTCTATGCCTGTTACAAATGTACCGTTAGCGGTAAAGCTTCCATATGGGTTAGCGTTAAAACCTCTCAATAACAACATCAAACATAAAGTACACTTACTTTTCACTCAGAAACCATTTATGTTCAGCTTGATAGACGCATCTACGGTAGCTATCGTGGAGTATTTCATATATTTCTTTCACACATTTTAATGTCCAGTATTGATACGTGTTCTACTACAGTATGATAAAATGGAAAGTATTCAAAAGTATTTTTGAGGTATCTTTCAGAAGGCTTTGAAAGAACAAGTGCTGTCTAGTTAAACAGTAGTTACAAACCCAAAAAGTGGTTCTATTGTACGAATCATTTTGCTAATTTCTGATCATTTTCGACGAATTTCTGGCACTTTGATTTTCAGTTCACCATCTAATAAACTTATAATAACATGCTACAACATGTTTTTTTTTTTTTATTATTAATTTACATCAGCTTTCATGTGTAACATACTGTATATACGCAAAATGAACTGAGTTGAATGTTGTTTGTTTTTTTTTGTTTGGTGTTATTTATAGTATTTTATATCTGTTAGGACCTAACTTAGAACATGATTTGAAAGGCACCGTTTTCTTTTTCTAATTCTAACCCTCGTGGCGTTTGATTATTGAGTAAACGATAGATCATTATTTTAGTAAACACACTGAATCTATAATGTTAAAATAAATTCATGAAAGTCAATTGTCTAACTAAAAATGCTAACTTCGACAATTACTTTATGAAAATATCATTGGAAATAGAATAAAATGAGCTTAGTGTGTTGTATCACAAGAAATACGCTATTTCATATAACAAAAACTGTTATGCAGCATCACGTATAATACTGCTTAGGTTTCAGTTTCCTTTATTCATTTACGCAGAGACGCACAGCTGTTTAAATAAAATGCTAAATAGTGTTTGCACAAACAAATACATAAAGTTCTGTGAAGAGTAATAATTAAATCATAAAAAACTAATAATATGTACCGATTTCGTGTCGGGTGGTTTTATTTTTATGACATTTATCGGAAGAGTAACCCTATTTCATTTTATTCACTCTGCTGTGGAGTAAAACATTAACACGTTAAAGTGATCACCCGAAAACAGAAATGTAAGAGAGATGATATAAGCAACCAGAGAGATATTTATCTGCAGGAAACAATTACAAAGACACGGAATATAAAAATGATTTGTAAATGTAACACGAGAAACAAGACGTGAAAGTAGCTCCACTAATAACGATCGATACGTCGCTTTTTAGCTCACCAATCACAGAGAGAGTTTAGTCATCCTGATCGGCCCAGAGGTCATCACAGAGAAGGGATGACAAGAGGAGAATATCGAGAGAGCAAAGTCCAAGTAAGAACGTTCGCAGTTTCAGTGTATGCAGATTACTTTAAGTTCTGTGCATTCTATGAATGCAGTTTTGTATTATATTTGTTTATTTATAGATCAACTGTTCATGGTCTGTGTGAATGTCATATTTATTGTAAAACGTCAGTTCTTTAGAAATTTAGTTCTTTATGTATTTTCGTTTTTTTCTGAATTCTAATATGTATTTCTGGTAGAAAGATGCCACATTATATCGTGTATGTATATATATATTCAAATGAGCGTCAGAAAATATGTTTTATTTAACCTAAGAGTTTATTATCTAATTCATTTAAGGCAGGGTTTCCCAAACTGATTTATATCGACCCCTAGCCCCCCCCCTCGCAGTGGCACAGTGGTATGTCTGTGGACATATACCACTAGAAACCGGATTTCGATACCCGTGGTGGGCAGAGAACAGATAGCCTTTTGTGTGGCTTTGTGCTTAATAACAAACAACAACAACAAAGACCTAGGGCTCGATAGTGGGGTCGAAAATGGCTCCTAGGGTAAGGTTGGCTTACGCAACTAACCGCACTACGCCTAGTAGCAACAGCGAGCGAAAAAAAAAAACCTGGTTCTTTTTTTACATGTTATGTTTCCTAACGATTGTATTATGATGAATAAGAGTTGGTTATATATATATTGAAGTTTCTTGATTATGAAGTTTCATTTATAATTTATATTCTAAGAATTTGGTGGGGCGATGGCAACTGTATGTCAAGGGGTCGACAACTCAAAAAGGTTTGGGAAACCCTGGTTTAAGGAAAAGTTATCTGTCATTGTTTATAAACTAGTTATACAGGATGTTAATTAATAATATTTAATGTGAAAGTTAAATCAAAAAATAAAACATAAATTTTCAGTTTTTAAGACAATAATTAATTTTTGTTAGTCTTTTTATTTAAATACACAAATGTCTTCGAATCGATGACGGGACTTGTGTCCCTCCTATTTTTGTGTCATTGAGTACAGTGTTGGAAATGTTGATACCAAACAAACTTTAATTTCAGGAAAATAAGGAAGTCCTGAACTGCAAAGTGTAAAAAAAAAAATGTGAAGGTTTCATATCGTACGCACGAGATAATAAGTAGTACGAACCAGATACTATTTAAATAATTACTGAAAGTAATGATTTGATACGGAAACCCTGAAAATATGGCGGAGTAAACTTTTAAGTTCTGATTCATGAGAAGTCAATTTTATACGTGACGTTTTATAATATACGTGACTTCTAGATGTTCAGTACGAACCTTCAAATTTACGAGGTTGTTGTTGTTTGTTATTAAACACAAAGCTACACAATGGTCTATCAGTGCTCTGCCCACCACAGGTATCGAAAACCGGTTTCTTGCGGTATAAATCCGCAGACATACCGCTGTGCCACTGAGAGGGGGGGATCAAATTGACGATCAAATAGTTGCTATGAAACTGATGTGAAACGTAATTATGAAACAAACACACTAACTAATTTTCATTTATAAAATAATCCCTATGAACACACCAACTAATTATTATCCATAATAAAATCCCTAAAATTAGACACATTTGTTATGCAATTTATGCATTTAAACATACGAGATGAGTCCTTCAAATTTTTATCATCATATGTTTCAGTACTTCATAGGAAAATAACTTTTTTATGTGATATTTAATATTTAAAATAATTTGTTTATGTGATATTTAAAATAATTTGTTTATGTGATATTTAATATTTAAAATAATTTGTTTATGTGATATTTAAAATAATTTGTTTATGTGATATTTAAAATAATTTGTTTATGTGATATTTAATATTTAAAATAATTTGTTTATGTGATATTTAAAATAATTTGTTTATGTGATATTTAATATTTAAAATAATTTGTTTATGTGATATTTAATATTTAAAATAATTTGTTTATGTGATATTTAATATTTAAAATAAGTTCTTTAATTGATATTTAATATTTAAAATAATTGTTTATGTGATATTTAATATTTAAAATAATTTGTTTATGTGATATTTAATATTTAAAATAAGTTCTTTAATTGATATTTAATATTTAAAATAAGTTGTTTATGTGATATTTAATATTTAAAATAAGTTGTTTATGTGATATTTAATATTTAAAATAACTTCTTTAATTGATATTTAATATTTAAAATAACTTGTTTATGTGATATTTAATGGGCTTTAGGAGAGAAGCTCACCTCGAAGGCGAAACCAATACGATTTTCCAGTTAAAAGAATCCTACTGACTCGAGATCCTAAGGATCGGTTTGTGAAGGGTAAGATAATATTAGATCAAATAAAAGTTGATCAAATTCACCCCTTGTAGTTAACAATATTACCAAAATTTTCCTGAGTATTAGTGACCTAGAGAAACGTCTGATAGATCATATTGAAAAGTTTAAAATAATTAAATAATAACACAAATACACACACGTACATTCCTAACGTATAATAATGCTTGGAGATGGGTTGAATGGGTAATGAAGAAAAACTTTAATACAAGTCTAACATAACAGCAAATGTACAACGTTTCGACAAGGTTTTGTCATCATCAGGTGATTTGTGTTTGAAAATTATGTCAACATTTTGGACAGACTGTGTATGTATCAACTAGCAAAAAGTTAAAAGATCTTGCCTACAAAACACAAGTAGTCAGTTTTATTGGCATAATTTTGGACAGACTGTCTATGTATCAAGTAGCAAAAAGTTAAAGGATTTTGTCTATGAAACACAAGTAGACAGTTTTATTGACATAATTTTGGACAGACTGTCTATGTATCAAGTAGCAAAAAGTTAAAGGATTTTGTCTATGAAACACAAGTAGACAGTTTTCATGTCAATAAAACTGTCTACTTGTGTTTCATAGACAAAATCCTTTAACTTTTTGCTACTTGATACATAGACAGTCTGTCCAAAATTATGTCAATAAAACTGTCTACTTGTGTTTCATAGACAAAATCCTTCAACTTCTTTCTACTTAATACACAGTATGTCTGAAGATTATATCAATGAAACTGTTTACTTGTGTTTCACAGATAAGATCTCTAATCCTCTTGCTATTTAAATGCTAACTGTGGACAGTGTGCACTCTAATGTTTTACATATTCAAAAGTAAATGTTAATAAATTCATTGAATTTGCTTTTTTAAAGTTACGAAGTACGGTACGGTATTCAAATCCAACATTAAGACATTTTCTAAATACTTGTATTTCCATTAGTGTTTTTTCTTTGATGTTAAGCACAAAGCTACACGATGGACTATATTTGCTCTAGCCACCATGGGTATCGAAACCAGACTTTTAGCGTTATAATCTACATTAGTTGTATTAATTCTGTAATTGGTGTTTTTATTATTAGTTATACAGTATAAGTATACAGTTTTAACATTTATTTTACTAAAGTGATACTTAATACAGATAAATCCTTATGTTATGCGATTCCGAGTTTTCACATGCCATTTTACTTCGACAATCCTTTTTTCAAATAGCCTGGTATGGCTTGGTGGTTAGAGCGTTCGATTAATAATATGTGAGTTGCGGGATCAAAACCCTTCACCGAAGATGCTTGTCCTTTCATCTGTAGGAGGGGGTATAATGTAACGTTCAAGCTCACTATTCGTTGATAATGAGTACTCCTAGAGATAACGGTGGGTGGTAGTTGCCATCCCTCTAATCTATCACTTCAAAATTAGGAATGGTTAGCGCAGATAGTCCTCGAATTAGCTCTGCACGAAGTTCGATAAACAAACCTTTTTAAAAATCGAGATGTCAGGAGAGTCTGTGCTAAGCAAATAATGAGAGAATTTTTAGAGTGAATACCAAAAGAGTATTATGTAATATCTAAATACCCTGACATTCACTAAATAAAATAGGCGAGACGAACGTAAACAGTTGTCATTGAACAAAAATAGGAACAATTTTTCCTGGAGTATAGAATAATGTCTAAAATAGACTCAAACACACATGTATGTATATATATATAATATTGACACTTGTTGTGGGGCCCAAGCCTGACCTGGTGGTTGGCGTATCGGAATGGGACTAGTGATCCGAAGATTTATGTTTTTGTTGAATTTCGCGCAAAGCTACACAAGAGCTATCTGCGCTGCTCGCCCCTAGCTTTGAAGTGGTAGACTAAAGGGAAAGCAGCTAGTTAACACCACCTACCGCCAACTCGTGGACTAATTTAATCAAATAGTGGGATTTGACCGTCACACTTATAATGCACCCATGGCCCCATAGTGTGGAGCGCAATTTTTCTTCTTCATTCTTTTTGCAGTAACAGGATGTGAAAACCACGTAAACCAGATCCACAGCCCAGTACGCTAATCATTGAGCTGCGATCGGCCTCCGTGAATCTTGGGTTCGAGACGTGGTATTATCAAACACGCTTCGCTACTCTACTGGGTGCCTTCCCCTTGGTCCACAATTCACAATAGGGACGGCTAAGCATGGTTCATATGGATCTCTGACATGGCCGTTTAGCTAATATTGTGCGTAAGGTGTTATTCGGATGAACGAACAAAAAATCAAACGTGTTTTCAATTAGTTTCCTATAATTGTACACCGACGTGTTTTAATTTTTTCGTTACTCTTAATGCTTTAAAATGTGCCAGCTATGAATATAATATAATCACGCTTGTTGCATTGATTATAGTTTTAAATATACTTGTTAATGCACGATGATGCTGTTATTTTTTCCACTAAACCTAAGTATAATCAAACTAGGCTCACCATGACAATGAGATAGTAATAGTAGTAAATCGACATTCCCTCCTCGATAGGACAGCGGTAAATTTACGGACTTAAAACGCTAAAATCCGGGGTTCGATTCCCTGAGTTAGACACGGCAGATAGTCCAATGTGGCTTTGTTCTAATATTACGTAGCTATAAGACTTACAAATATAATTGTCCCTCGTTGGGAGAACGGTATATTTAAGGACTTACGACGCTAAAATTCTGGGTTTGATTCCCCAGGTTGGTGGACAAAACAGATAGCCCAACGTAGCTTTGCTTTAATAAACAAACCAATATAATATATTATTACTATATATATTATTATACTTAATTACAGTGTAATTAAAAATGCTCCTGACTTTTTTGTTGTTCTTTTACAGGAAATGGATTTGGTTTAGAAATTATTGGGGGCAAAGAAATTCCTGACAATAATGGAATGACTGGAGCATATATTGCTAAAATTTACCCCAGCGTCATGGTCGATACTTTGGGAGAGGTTGCAGAAGGTAGATACACAAAATATTTTGGAAAATATAACGTTAGCATATATGCCTACTTTGTTGTGTTGCAAACTACTAGGGTTAAAATATTATTGACTGTTGCCTAAGAAACTACTGCACTACTAGGGTAAAATATTATTGACTGTTGCCTAAGAAACTACTGCAGTATGGAAAGACGTAAAGCTACACAAAAGGATAACCCAAAATTTCATTTTTAAATTTAGAATTTTAGTTAACTATAATTGTTTTGAATTTTCCTAAACACACCAAAGATGTCTTTTATCAAAATTAGCGGATATATTTTCGTTAGTACTAGTTGCTAGGAAATTAAAAACTATTTCAAAGTTTGAGGGGAAGGGAATTGTTTAGAGCTTAATAGTTTTATTTATTCACCTATTGAACTTTCCAAATACATCAAACGAGTAGATGTATTTCGTATTAACTTCAATAGGTTTTTGCCTCTTTTTTTTGTCTGTTTGTTTAGCAGTTTCGATTACTTCAACATTTTTCTTGAGTTTGCTATCGTATAGCTTTAAAATAAATGGCAACTGAAATTTTCCAGTTTTTCTTCTTTTTATTTATTAATTTAAAAGGTGTTGCTACGATATAATTATTTTTTTATGAGGGCTCTATCGTCGTCAGGAGTCGGTCTCACGATATAAGTGAACTTTCTTGTTTCGTTTAATTTGGGGCTAGTTAAAAGGTTTTTTTTTTGCGTATGGTGTTTCACACACCTCCAAATTCCTTTTGGAGGTGAGTATCCGGGAGTAGGACTGACCTTCTCGTCCGGACACCGGGTGGGCATGTTTCGGTGTGACGGGGATTCGAACCTGCGACCCTGACCACCTGGCCATGCCGGGCCGGTTAAAAGGTTAAAATAACAAAGGCAAAGTATTCGTTACTACAATTTAAATAAGGCACAAAAATAATAAACGGAAAAGCTTAAAATTAACACGAATAATAATAATAAGTAAATTCAAATAAATAACTTTATTTAAATTCTTTAAATAACTTTATTATTCGCGAATTAAAAATATGGGAATGAAAGTCGTAGCAGTATTAATATTATGTTAATGGGTCAAATAAATTATTCTTTTGTTTTCTTTTACATATTACTGTAGTTTTGCTGTCATATCGTTGTGCTTATGCTTCTTTATGTTCAATTATACAACGTTTAATAACGTTGCTCAAGATATTAATATCGTTCTCGACAATTACGATTTTATGACTTAAGCTACACTTTTGGTTATATATATATATATATCCAATCTAATATGCAAATTCTTTGAAGTATTGTTAGGATAAAAGACAACATTATGCTGGAAAACAAAACTTGGGTGTTATTTTGAACATGTGATTTTCAGAATACTATATCCTTTTCATAAATATATATAATTCAAAGCTGTTCCGATATCAGCTTTAAAGAATATCATGTAAGTATATTGGATTAAAGTAACATTTGAGTACTTTAATGTCTGATATTTTGAAAGTTTTTTGAAATATATGTTTTATTGGATCCTGCAGGCGATCAAGTTCTAGAATGGAATGGAATTACTTTAAATGGCAAAACGTTCGAAGAAGTTAAACGAATTATTGCGTCTTCCGAAGACGAAGTAGAAATGGTTATCCGAAGGTAATCTTTTCAATCATCAGAACTTCTGCATTCAAGAAAACTTTTACCTTTTTAGAGTTGTATACTTTTTAATTCAATTTGTATTATTAAGTTTCGTCTTGCAGTCTGTTTTATTCTTGTTATTTATAAGCGATTAGTGCTAGTTTTTGGTTCTACAGATCAGGTTTTTCCGTGTATTTGTTTAATGGGTTTCAGTTTCAATAAAGTTTTTAAAACTATAGATAGTTTTTTTTTACTTGCTAGTGATAACATACTGCAATGTTTAGCACAACACTTGCGAGCATCAGAAAAATGTTGTTTTACCGTTTCGCCTAATATAAACCACACAGCTACATATTTCAGGAAATTCACGTATTCTTTATGTACTGATTAAAGCGGCTACATTGAAACACTTCTATCAGCACACACGCTGTTATAAGCTAAACGAAAAATATGTGTGTAATATACACGACTAGGAATTAATATTCATAGTGGCCTAGTGGTTAGGGTCCTCGACTTGCAGTTTAATGGTCGCGGGGCGTTATACTGTGATGGTCAATCCCATTATTCGTTGGTAAAGAGTATTCGAAGAGTTAATGGTTGATGGTGTTGACTAGCTGCCTTCCCTCTAGTGTATCACTGCTAAATTGGGGACGGCTAACGCAGATATTCCTTGAGTAGCTTTGCGCGAAATTCAAAAACAAACAAACAAAATAATATTCGTAATATGAAACAATCAAACGGTGACAGTAAAATATATAATAATGTACTATAAACACTATCAATGAAATCATTTTCCCCATATACATAATATGACAAGTTCAACATTAATATAGGCATGGAATTGAGAGAACTTGTCTTTGTTTTTATTGATTACGTAGAGTCAAGAACGTTGTTTTCGAGTCATTGCCAGTCATAGTTTTTTGAGAACCTATTTAAACGATAAACTTGAGAAAAGTTGAAGTTTATGCAGTGAGTTTTAACTTTGGATAATTTCAACTCCATTTTAAGTTATAAATCACCCTACTGGCGCTATCCATAACTAAAAGTTGCTATATTTATAGTTTCTGTGGTTTTATGAGTTGTTAGAGTAAACCACGGTATCTTGAGCAACGGATTAACATGAGCTCAATTACCATTTTTTTTTATCGCAGTGACTTAAATGTCCTCAAACCGCAGGGAGTGAGTCACGTGCAGCGACATACCCCAAATCGTGGATATAGACCGTTCGATGACTCTGGTCCAGGTCAGGGTCACAACCCGCGTGGATCTAGTGGGAGACCTAGAGACTTTGGGAGGCTCTCCCCAGAACGGAGCTATTATAGTGGAAATAATGGCACCAGGAGTGTATGGAGACGCAACCATCCTGAAAATTTAACATCGTCACAGTTGCATAACCAAAATCCTCGGACTAACAGTCTCGATCGTTTAGGCTCTCCTGGTGGTTATCCTGGTAGGTTGTGTTAGAATACAGCATTGTAGCGTTGTTATATATTTGTGGATAGTTTTATGTTTTCAACAAAAATTGAATTACACCTTACTAAAATATAGTTCTCATTTACTCAGTTGCAAGTTCTTACGTTTGTGAACATTGTGTTTGAAGTGTGTCAGTAAATTGATGAATGGTAATGCATTTATGAGTTGCTGAAAAACTTTTTTGTGGAGTGTATGAAGTTGGAACTTACGTCTAAATGATATCAGTCCTGACTTCAGCTTTTCTTAACTGGGATGGAATGGGGGGGGGGGGGCAATGAGACGTCTAAAATTAGGTTAATGGACTGCATTATCTTGGAAGGACGACGACTTTTATGGGAACCCGGTCCAATGGACCTACGTTAGCATCGGCTCTGAATTATTTTCGTCAAACTCAGTGTTCTCGAATAAATTATAATTTTTAACTGACACTCTTACAAAAAGTTTGAAACAACCTAGTTGATTTGTATGGAGAAGAACGTGCATTTTGTGGCTTGTGCTCCTCAAACAAGCACGCTTGGTCAGATTATACTCAGTCAGAAAATTACCTTTGATGATTAAATATTAAGAGATTGTGCGGCTCTGAAGTTTTCGTTGATAGTACGGATATTATCCGACCAATAGAAGTAGAGCAGAACGATTAATTACCCCCACGAGCAGTGGACCCTCAGAAGGATTAAAAAAAAGGTGGTTTAGAACGGAGAAATGAAATAATTGAATCGAATAATGAGAGTGTTACAGAAAATAGTGATATACAAGAAAATAAGTTTCATAATATCATGATCAATAAGAGTATAGGAAAAATAATGTATAAAAAAGAGAAAAAAACAACTTAAGATTAGTCCTGCATTTCAACAGATTTTGAGTTGTATACCAGTGAGAATGGAACAACTAAAAAAATTGAAAACAAAGTAATTTGACCAATAGGAATCACATTGACGTGACTTAATGTAATGTGATGGAACAAGAAAAAAAAAGATCAAGTAACCAGAAGAAGTAACAACAATAACAAAACCGAAAACCTCGTGTAAAGAATAATAAATACATGATCAAGCTGAAACAACTTACGTCAATAAAAGAAATAGCTAGATATTCGACAAAAGCTGCCAAACTTCGATTTGTATGACGAGACCAGCGAACGTAGAATGATAAAACGGCTACAGAAAAGGTCAAGTGAGCATAGAAAATGAAAGTGCATGAAAAAGCGCGAATTTTGTTTAGATGTTACATCAGGTGAAGAAAAAAAATTACAAAACAAAATTAAATCTAACTGTCTGTTTCTATAGCTGCACTACAACGTTACACGCCTATCGAATACTTTTCAATAAACTGCACTATAAAGCAAATGTAGACTTGGGAAATATCTATGAGAGATCATATTCTCCTATATACAATTATTTTTGTTTTTTTCTCTTCAATAATATGTATATATAGATGCACGCGCCAGCAAAACTGTGACAAGACAGTGTAAAATCATTAATACAAAAGTACAAATAGTATCATTTTAAAATGAAAATGTCTGTGGTCACAGCATCCAAAAGCATTGGGGATATTCCGTCTATCAGACATAATCAAAACAAGAGATACAAAACTAGAAAGCAGGCTACAAATTCAATAAGGGGTTAGGACCTGGGTGCTAGAGTCCACAACGTCCAAGACACCACTACCACTCACCGTCTATATCATCAACCACCCTCGATGTCCATCAAAAATGATCCCCCAACTTCTACCCATTTTTTTATAGTTTTAATAATAGATGATTTTATAATTTTTTAGATGTGATGTTATAAACTATAAATATCAAGTAAAAATACAACATTTTATTATAAGTGTACACGCCAACAATTACATGATCGTGCCAGGAAAACTGTAATAAAATATTGTAAAATAATATTTTATGTGTTTAGGAGTAATTACCTACAACCGGCTATAAACGTAAGCGGTTTTGGGACGTTGTGGGTTCTAGCACCCAGATCATAACCCCTTAATGAACCTGTAATTTTATTTCTAGTTTTGCGTCTGTTGATTTGATTATGTCTCATAGACGGAATGTCCCCAATGCTTTTGGGTACTATGGCCGCATACATTTTCACTTTATAAGGGTACCATTTATACTCCTGTGTAAATATTATCATTTTACTTTATTTTGTTACAGTTTTGCTTGCGCGATCTCTCACCTGTTGGTGCATACATCTTTTTACATATGTATCTCGCCAGGGCAAAGCAGTGATTAATGATCGCCTGTACGCCTTTGATATAATACAAATAACTGTGAAATGTATTCATATATATAACCGCGTGTGTGTGAATTCAAATATCTCATCTACATTCCATATAGGTATAGATATAAAGATAGATATCACTATTATTTTACATCTAATTTCAAAAACTAAATCCACTTTCACCTGTATCGTGGATTCCAGTGGACATTTCTCACATGGACAATCATGTAGATGTCCCACGTGCTTTTGATGAGGGTGCTATCCAGTCACACGCACGTCACGAATCAGGAACACTCAACCACAATCATCATCCGATCTTACCTCTCTCTACTTCAACCTATCAAGGGTCTCTTCAGGATATGCCGGGGTCACGAGCCGCAGGTCACAAGTTACCTAGCAACAGCCCTACGGATGATGAACAGGTGGGTTAGGATGATATACTTGTGCTGATTTTTGTGTGTATAGAACTCAGAAAGAATATAATTTACTGATGGGGGGGTGGGACAGGACACGAGAGTAAAATAAAACACACAGAAAAAGATAAATGATCAAAAAATGAGAGAAGAAAAGAACGGGAATGAGACAATAGCAAGATATAGTGAAAACGGAATAGTGGAATAAAATAAAAACTATAGACAGTACTATAAAATATACACCAAATGACTGGATTTAAAAGTTTAATTTATCTAATAAATCTACAAATATTTCAAACTAAAAGATTCTGTCAGATTCTACTACCATCCCACAACCTCCCCAAATTTCTGTTATATTTTAACCATAAAACACTGAAATGTAAGAAATAGACTTAAATGTAATGAATTTCTCTCTCTTTTTTTTTAGTTTTACTTATTTAAATGAATTGACGTTTAACTGTATCTGAACTAAAGACACTTTCGAAATTTAAAAAACGTACATAATTTCTAAAGTTATGTTTTAAACGTTACCGAAATTTGACGAAGCATTAAAACCAATAGACTAACATTTTTTTTTTTTTGTAAATTAAAAAATTGTAGATATATTTTTTCATTATTTGTTTTTAACTCTCATTTGGAATGCGAAATGCACAAATTAAGAAGTTTGTCAAAAAACATCTGTAGTTTATGCGTTTTTTATCACAACTATATAAAAATTTATCGCTAAATAAAAAAGCTATGTAGGGCAGGCTACTGGACTTGAAAAAAGGAACCAAACAAGATAGAAATGCAAGTAGACATATCACTTGATCCGGCTTATTATCGTATAGCAGACTAAGCCGTCTCGACTTTACGTGGATAATAAGATCCCTACATCACTGGCTTTCCCAGTTTGTCTATCGAAAGCTTGGTGTTTCAATAGAATCTCAGCTTTCATCATTATACCTTGCTTTTAGTTAACTTTAGAATACTAGTTTTATTACTATTTTACAATAGAGTAACATTTTATGATTGGAAAGTCTGGTTCTATTTGTTTTTTTTCAGTGAGGAAGACAGTAATGTAGGGATTTTATTATCCATGTAAAGTAGATACAGCTTAGTCTGCTGTGTGATCATTAGCCCTATCAAGTGATATGTCCATTCCCATCCCTATCTTGTTTGGTTCCTTTTTTTCAAGTTCAGTAGTCAGCCCTTTTTTATTTAGCGATACATATTTTTCCTAATATTTATTTGTTTACTTTTTTATAAGATGGCGTATGTGGGTTACTAGGTTATAGAGTGTATTTATAGCTTTATAAATTTTCCATGTAATTATAATCAAATAGATAGTCAAAGATCGTGAAGACTGTTTTTCTCTATGAAATGATGGTAAAATTATAGTTACTGCTAGAACTAGGTAGGCGCTATGCCTGTTGAAGAAAGATGATAATGAACAAAAATAAGAAATCTTGGTTTTCAAATTCGATGACGAGGAACCCACTTTAAGACTAATAATGGTCGGAGACGGCTTGAATGGGTAATGAAGAAAAACTTTAATTACCCATTCAAGCCGTCTCCAACCATTATAAATCTTGGTTTTGGCTTTTCACCGGTTTTCGACGTTGGGACGCTCTGGATAGCTGAAAAGCGGCATATACACCAGAGATAGGACGACTATGCCAGGTAGTTCTTCATATCTAGCTTCTTATCACCTGTAGAGAAGAAAATCCAGATGACTTTTGTGTTGCTTTAATATGGGCATCCATATCATTCCTACCTAGACAATGCTAGCGCACTCTCTGATAACTATGTATTTATCTTTTTAGTTTTGCCTTATTTAACTGTTATGCATTGAATGTTTATTATATCTTAACTACAAGCACACTTTAAGAGGAAGAAATAAATTTAAATGTTGTACATGTCTGTTTATTATTTGTTCTTATAAAATAGATCAGTCGTATTCTGAATACATTGTGAATAAAGTATTTATTTCATCTTTCAGTATAAGCTCCAAGCCCCACACATAGCTGGTGAAATAAAAGTAAGTATAACACAATGTGAGTTAAGATTTAGCTTTGGAATATTATTACTACTTAAGATGTTAAGAAAAAGACTCAGAAGTAACTTTATAGTATTTAACTGTGATTCTCTAGACATCTTTCGGAGAAGTATTGAAACAAATAGTTATTATATAGGTGTAAGTTATATGAAGATGTTATTAATCCAAAGATAAAGAAATTAGTCTCCAAGGATCATTTTACAACAGAAAGATTTGAATATAAACTAATATATTAAAGATAAGGATCCTGGACATTTAAATTTATGCTTCATTGATGAGATTCTTTTTCTTTTAACGAAAGTGTTTATTGAAATATTGGATGTTTTACTTATCTAACTATTGTGCAACCCCCAGTAGCACAGCGGTATGTCTGTGGACTTACATCGCTAGAAACCGGGTTTCGATACTCATAGTGGGCAGAGCACAAATAGCCCTTTGTGTAGCTTTGTGCCTAATTACAGACAAACAAACTATTGTGCATTTCTCTCTCTTTTTACATTTTACTTCTCTAGCTGTTAAATTAACTGTTCTATTGAACTCAGTTGTATCATTAATCGAAACGTTAATTTAGTGTTTAGCAAAATAGCTGGTTTGTTGTGAAAACAAAACTTGTAAAAAGGAGCACTTGATCAGTGAAAGTAATTTATTTTTAACTACTTCTGTAGCTGTATTTTCTTCTACAGTTTTTTAAATAGTTAAAAGGTAAATTAGTTGCGTACATTTCAGATTCAGGTGTGTTTTAACAGAGATCTGTAGCGACGTTTGTTGCGTACATTTCAAGTTTGGGGTGTTTTTACAGATACATGTGATGAAATTTGTTATGTATATTACAGATTCAGATGTGTTTTAACAGAGGTATGTGACGAAGTTCGTAACTTGCATTTCAGATTCAAGTATGTTTTGACTCCAAGGCATCCATACTTTATGTTACCATTGTAAAAGCACGAAACCTTGGAACATCAAGGGACAACAGCGGCTTCCCCGATCCCTTTGTAAAATGTTATCTTCTGCCCGGAAGACGGTACGTGTTCAGAGGAATTGCTATGATGAGATTTAGAGAAATGTATCTTATTTTTTTTTATGAAAATTATAATAGTGCACATTAAGAAATTCTATCCGTTATTGTCTTAGTTTAGTGACGCAGGTAAAAGAAATTATAATAACCATTTCTATAGTTAAAAAAGCATTTCATCGTTTGTTTGATAATATACTGTCAATGTGCCCTATCAAACTATGAACTTTATGTGAATGCCGCGTTCTTCTCTTTCTTGGTATACAGTAGTGTGCAAATTTATTAGAACACCACATCGATATACAGTAGCATGCAAATTTATTAGAACACCACATTGGTATACAGTAGTGGGCAAATTTATTAGAACATCACATTGGTATACAGTAGCATGCAAATTTATTAGAACACCACATTGGTATACAGTAGTGGGCAAATTTATTAGAACACCGCATTGGTATACAGTAGTGTGCAAATTTATTAGAACACCACATTGGTATACAGTAGTGTGCAAATTTATTATAACACCACATTGGTATACAGTAGTGTGCAAATTTATTAGAATACCGCATTACTCCTGTAATTTTGGAAATGAAGTAAGACCATTGTTCTTTAGAATGTATTGAAAAGCATTAAAATAGGCAAATTATTGATTTTATCACTTTATTCATGATTTTAATATGCTACGCATTTAATTAAACATTTTTAGAGAAAAAACATCACATAATTAACAACAAATGATTTCGTAAATATTTTTCAAGATGTCTAATCTAACTAAAGAAGCGTTGTAACATTGCCACGTACGGTTGTCATTGGTTTATGTACCAGTCATCACTGGCAAAATTTGAAATTTCCATATTCTGAGTTTTTCATGCAGATACGTCTAGGTATATAAAGGATTTTTTAAACATCGCCCATTGCAGATAATATATTGTGATGTTGCCATTAAAATACCTAAACAAAGAGAAGTAACACAATTTGACAGAGTCAAATCTTTACATGGTGCTGGTTGGGGTTTAAGAAAAAACTGCCAAAGACATTGGCTGTTCTCCAAGTACTCTTGAGTACACAAGGATATCCAGTCTTATATCATCAACAGGAGAAAGCTCACTAAAAGAGATGTTAGACAACAAAAAAATCATTTCATTGAAAAACGGAGGAAAACTATAAAAATCTTGCTGATGACATTAACAAGTCACACACACAGATAAAGAATCGTGAAGTACAGTCTCAAGAACTCTGCAGACGTAAAGCAAGAAAGTCCTTATGGTGCAAAGAAAATATAACAAAAATCCTAGCTTTTGCAAAAGAAAATGTATCCTTATCCTTGGAAAAGTAGCACAAGATGCTTTGAACAGATGAGTCTAAATTTGAACTGTTTGCTTCCAACCGGCGTGCATATGTTCGTCAAAGAGTCAAGCGGTTGTTAAATTTTGATTGGGTCACCGTACCGTTTGTTGATTTTTAACAAATATTTAGCAGTCAATAGAAATTTATCTTGAGATGGTGCAAACAAAAAGACCTTATTTTCCTTACTATTAACTATTATATGTTTCACATATTAGAACAAGTTTATATTGATGTTTCACAGAATTTTGACCTTAATCAGAACAGGTTGTTAAAAAATTGCCAGCACACCCCTGGAGTCAAGCATACAGGAGGCTTAATGGTGGATTGCGGCACAAATCTGTGAATGGATTTGGTCACCTTTCCAAAATTGATGGAATTATAAAGTAGTATAAATACCATAGTATATTATTACATCATGCTATATCCCCCCCCCCCTGTAAAGAAGCTGATTGGTTAGAATTTCATATTAAAAGAAGATACTTGCAAGAAACTTTGTGATCATTTGGCAAAAAAAAGAAAGCTCAAGATATCTCCAGTAAATGCAATGGTCATCACAAAGTACAGACCTTAACCTCATAGAACAAACCTGGGATTTGCTGGACTCCATGCTTTACAGAATTACGAACTGTACTAAAGAAACCTAGCTATGGATAAGCTTTAAGAAAGATGAAGTCAAATTACACCAGAGACTTCAAGAAAATACTCAGACACAATGCCACAAAGATGCCAAGCTGTTACTGATGACCAAAAGTGGTCACACTAAGTATTAGCCTTAAAGAAACTTAAAGTGACTATATGGTAAATAACTGAGTACGTTTACTGAAGATTAATTAGCAATAATTGCAAGTTATATGGCAAACCAATGACTATTTTGTATGTAAAGCTGTTTGAGGTAAATTTGCACATTATATATAAATATACTGAGACGAGACGATCTCGAGGAGGGAGAGTTTTAATGGCTTAAAAAGGTCAATGGGTTTCAAACTTTGCCTTGAGAAATGTAGATGTTTAAAAGTCAGTTTGGTTAGAGATATACACATTACCAAGCGTGAACACTGCCTGCCAGTCTAAAGGAAGCAAGCCAACTCTCAGACTAATATTGATTACTAAAGTTGCCAGATGGGGCTCGTTTTAAGACCGTTAGTTGAATAGTTTGAAGTCATTACATATAGATTTCACATCTAAATATACTCTTTGAAATCGTTCAATTAAATATTTTCTTTTTTAGTTCAGATTTTACTATAGTTCTAAGACTTAATAGACTTGAATTTCTTTTCTTATGATTTTAAATGTCTTATTATTGAATAATCTGATATTGTAACGTATGTTTCACTTCTTAAAGTTAAAGGCATGTAGATTCGGGTTGTAATACTAAGTGTGTACACTTAGCTTTAGTTTATATAAAAAATGAGAATAAACAATACTCATTAGAGAGTTGTAATGACTGTTTTTGAACAGGACATTTTTTTACACATTTTCATTGATGTTGTTTTCTTAAGCAGTTACAAGTAATCTTAGTTTTTCAAGTTTTAAACAACACTAATGTTTTACACTTAAGCAACTACAAGTAACCTCAGTTTTTTCAAATTTTAAACCTCACTAATGTTTTATTCTTAAGCGGTTACAAGTAACCTTAGTTTTTCAAGTTATACATCAACTAATGTTTAATTCTTAAGCAACTACAAGTAATCTTAGTTTTTTCAAATTTTAAACCTCACTAATGTTTTATTTTTAAGCAATGTTTATTCTTAAGCAACTACAAGTAACCTTAGTTTTTTCAAGTTTTAAACAACACTAATGTTTAATTCATAAGCAGTTACAAATAACCTTAGTTTTTTCAGGTTTTAAACTTCACTAATATTTCATTATTAAACATTTAGTTATTACAAGTTTGTTTGTTTTTTCTGGTATCATAAACCTCACAACTGCTTGGTTTCAGTATTGAGAATCAAAGACGGACACGATATTTCTCTCGGTGTAGTAACCCAGAGTGGAACCAGACCATGGTTTACCCTAACATTACCAGAGAGTTATTACAGGAAAAGTTTCTGGAGATTAGCGTGTGGAATTACGACATTCATAAACCTAGCGAATTTCTTGGAGAGGTCATTGTGGACTTGGCAGGTAATTATTAACGAGTTAGAAATCTTCATGGTGAAATAGTCTAAAAGATGGCAATAAAAAGGACTCCCGGACGTCACATAAATTCTCATTAAGTGGCGTTATATGGCCCTGATTATTCCTTTGGTAACTATACAGACGTCATCTTCAGATAATTTTTGAAAATCAGTTTTTGTATTAGTCTGTTTAAAAAAAAATGATATTTTCATGATTGGTTTGAAAACTCAACAATACGTTTAGAAACACAATTGTGACTGATAAATAAATTGGAGCTCCGTTTCTTAGTATTGTAAACGAAAAGTAGAACTTTTCTTACTAATGTATTTTATCGTCCTTATCTTTAACTTTCAATATGCGATCACGTGATATAAGAAACATGCCCAGTGGAACAAAATAACTTCCATTTACATTAGTTATAGATTCTACTTTGGAATTACATATCAATATGTTTATGTTATACGTTGGAATTACATATCAATACGTTTATGTTATACGTTGGAATTGCATATCAATACGTTTATGTTATACGTTGGAATTGCAAATCAATATGTTTATGTTATACGTGAAATGAACAAAATTCTCATTAGCCTCTGTATTTTAAACGCCGATTCAAAAATTTGTGGCTCATTGCCAAACTCGAGAGCTTATAATCTAGAATTCATTTTTTTAGGTCGCAACAGACACGGTGCAGGTAGTTCATTGTGTAACTTTGAGCTAAAACAAACAAATACGTTAAAAATTCAAGTATATCCTGATCACCGTGAAATTAAATTTTAAGTATAAATCTTGTCGAATTAGATGTTATTGTTGTTGAATATTCAACAAGGTCTACAGAATTGCTGGTCGCGGATGAAAACCGGGCGCCGAACACGGTCGTCCTTTCAGCCATGGGGACGTTATAATGTGACGATCAATTCTACTATTCGTTGGTAAAGAGAACCCAAGAGATGGCGGTGGATGGTGTTGACTAACTATATTCCCTCTATATATTTATAAAATTAGGAACGACTAGCTCCGATAGCCCTCGGGTAGCTCCGCACGAAATTCAACAATCTTTTAAATTTAATGTATGCATTCACGATCACGTATCGGTACGTCATTGTTTCCATAATTTTATGAGTGTGTATTTATGACAAGCACACAAAACCTTTCAATTGCGGAAATATTAGCCTTATTTAGTATTTGGATAATGAAATAAATATCTTAGTTTCCACTTAAACTGTAAGAAATCTAGCATGGCGATGGCTAAAAGAAAATAACTGCCCAAAAATACATGCACACTTCATTTATATAATTTCATGAAAAGGCTTTTACCTAATTTGGTATTTTAACATTTTTATAGATCATTTGTGATATTAATATAAAAAAATATGAAATCAGTAATGCGATTACCTTTTCACCAACACAAACACACACAAATCTTTTCCTTTAACTACTTTATGTGTTATACTTTACCCCACTGCAAAGCCGCCACTGATTGGTCAACGTCTCTAATGAAAAGCCGCCACTGATTAGTCAACGTCTTTAATGAAAAGCTACCACTGATTGGTAAATTTCTCTAATGAATCGACTCAAGCTATTGGATATTATTTCATTAAATGTTACTACTGTACGAAAAGTATGATAATTATTGCAACAATTGTACGATAAATTATTTATTCTAACTTCAAAGCTGGTGGAATATGAAAATGTGTTAATTTGATTTTTTGGCATACATTAATTACTATGCCATGTAATAATTACTGTTTCTTCTGAAATTAATAAGGTTAAACTTAATGGTTTGACTACTTGTGTTTAAACTATCATACTTTTACTTGTTTATCCAGTTTCTGTGATCGTCTTATCCCTAACTTTGTCTCTTGGTGGTCGTTAAGAAAATAAACGACAATTTTTCGTGAGGAAAAAAACAACAACAGAAGTGTGGGTTATTTGGGCCTAAAAGTTAGCTTAACAGTATTAAAATAGTTTGAATTACGCAGATGTGTATACATCTGTGAATCAGTTTTGATACTCTTTTCAATTTAACCACTTATGGACTCAACATTTTCCTCGCTGGTTGGGATTCTGTCATGGGCCAAGCGTGGCCCATTGTTTAACGTGCCTGACTATAAACACTGACTGACTCCACACTTTGGAGCTGTGAATGCGTTAGAATAGTGACTACCAAATCCCACTGCTTGTTCTAACAGGAGTAGTTCAAGAGTTAACAGTGGGTGGTTGTTGATCTACTCTATCACTTCAATATGAAAGAATGCTAGCGCAGATAGCCCTCGTGCTGCTTTGGCCGAAATCCAACAAACAAACAAACAAACAGAATTCTAGCTTATCCGAAAAGAGGATTGTCCACAGAGATGTGCTGAGGCCGGTTCGTCCGAACCGGTTGTTAAATTTTGATTTGATCACCGAACTGTTTGTTGATTTTTAACAAATATTTTGCAGTCAATAGAAATTTATCTTGAAATGGAGCAAAAAAGACCTTATTTTCCTTACTATTAATTATTATATGTTTCACAAATTAGAGCAATTTTATATCGATGTATCACAGAATTTCGACCTTAATCAGAACAGGTTGTTAAAAATTGCTAGCACACCCCTGAGATTGTCTACACACATTAGGTTATAATTATCATTGTAAAATAGAATTTTAGAAGCTAGGTAACAAATTGCTACTGGATATTTCTTCCAGATGAATCTATGATAGACGAACAAGCAAGATGGTGTAAACTACAAAATCATGACAAGAGCCGATATCCACGCGACCCTTCTGGAAAAACTCGAAGTAGCCTAGAAAATGACGGATCTGGTCAAAAGATGGCGCGTTTGCAAAATGTTAGTGGCGAGGTTAAATTTGTAAGTCAATTTATTTTACAGATACATTTTCTGAATAAGGTTTACAAAATTAGATTGGTTACATTGATAGTTACTATTACTATGTTAAAACTGTAAATTTTATTACTTTTTTAGAACCAAATTTCCAAAGTTAAAGAAAAAAATGCACATTTTTGAGTGTGTTGTTCCATATGCTAACGCATTTTATCGCTCATTATAAATAGTGAAGCAGAAAAAAGAATTATTTTATAAGTTACCATGGTTCCTCGTAAGATGTAAGAACTGTATCTGGTTCCCAAGCAACGTCCAGTAAAATGAAAGAAGGTCGAGATCCAAAAAAAAAAGGTCTTCGATATTTTGAAATATATATTTAAATATTATTTAACCTCATCATAGATGGTTTATTTTACTTATATGATGGTTATATTATATTTTACGAAGACCATCCTTACACCCATTTAAAGAAAAATGTTACAATTTTAAGTAACATCGTTTCTCCCAGAAACATTCTAGGAACTCCTTAACTTTCACTCATCAAATTGTGTAAATGACATAATCTTATAGCAAATATACTGGTAAGATGGGTTTTAGTCATGTCTCCAACCTGTCCATTGCTCTCATCAATTTTACAGCACCCTGATCATGAAAAAAAGTTCCACAAACATTACCATCGGAAATCCGTGGCATCAACCGATTCTACAAAGGGTATGAAAGAGTATAATTTATTGTGTGTGGTGTGAGCTTGCTTGCACGGTATGACGTTGTTTCTCACATTCGAGAATGTTCTGTATCGTGTATTCGTATACCTCTGTTCAATATGAAGTCACTGCGCATGAACGCCTCTGGATTGTTTTCCTCTCCCTCCTTTTTGTCTGTTAAAGTGTCCGAAATATATGATATTTGATAACAGTGCACTAATAGTTCGTACATTATATCAACGATGTTAGCGCAAGCAAAACTTTTTTCTTCATAATATTACACCCGAGTAAAAAGTAATTTGTGAATTACATAAGACTCTCTTGAGGACAGTGGTTAAATATCCTAAGTTTTAGCCCCCCCCCCCCAGTGGCACAGCGGTATGTCTGCGGAATTTCAACGCTAGAAACCGGGTTTCGATACCCGTGGTGGGCAGAGCACAGATAGCCCATTGTGTAGCTTTGTGCTTAATTCCAAACAAACCTAAGTTTTAAAATTAAAATAAAAACTTTTTCAACCAGACACATCTCCTGAACCGAATTATTTTACATTTTTTACGTTTCTACAACATGCAACAAGTCTTATATAATTCAGTTCACCTTTGCATTAAAAAAACAAGTAGTTTAATATTAATATAGTATTATTATGATCCAAAAATAGCAAGACGGCTGTCATCTTAGAACGTTTATATCTTTGAGGTTACGATATAAATGTCAGAACAAATTACTACTTCTTTGGAATCGGGTTGGCTCTTCTGATTTTTTTATCTGCAAATTCTAATTGTTTAATATGCAAGTTACGTATAGTTCAATTAACAAAAATAAAGTTTACTTTTGTCTCTTTTTGTTACCATATTCAAGTCTCTCATGGAGCAGCGATAACTTTACGGACTTACAACGCTAAAATTCGTGGTTCGATTCCCCGCGGTGGACAGAGTACAGATATTTCATTGCGTAGCTTTGCGCTAAAACAAACAAATAATCCAGATTCATTTTATATGGTACATTTCATAACCGAAAGTACGTTTTTGTCACAGTAATGCATTAGAGTATTTGCTTACCAATTCAAATATGTAAAGCTATATACACATATGTATATGCTGTAAAACATTGCAGGGTATTTTGGTTATGCTTATCTAATTACATTTTGTATTTCATTATTTTTATTTGCAAGTTTCATGTGTACGTATTTGAAATGTGTACAGCATAAATAGTGTCAATAATAAAACTTGAAATCAAGTAACATTTAAACTCAACTTCTAATTTTTCTTCGAAACGTTAGGCTTTTAACTACGAAATATTTTTAAAAGTTCTTTTCAAAGATGAGAAAAATTATCCTGTTTGGGGTATCGTTTTAATATCCAACTCGCAAACTGTTTACAAAAAACTTTACAAGAAATGTTTAATTTGTTTTCACCGATTCTGTATCGTTGTCAACTATTTCTATACCAACAATAATCAAACAAAATCATTGTACTTTACAATTTCAAGATCCGATCATGAATATCTAAATTGTCCAACTCTTCTTTAGAGATATTAGAGGCTTGCTGCATATTTTGTGTGTTATTTGTGTTTTAAATATAACGTCATTTAAATGCATGGTTAGTCAAATTTAAAGGGTGTTTCTGTAATTATCTTTACCGATTCTAAATATCGTTCTGAATACTATTGTGAAATAGACAATAATCTAAATACAGATATTGCTAAAGGAGTGAATACATTTAATTCCATAGTTTTAAGGCAAAGAAAAGGAAGAATATATATATATATATATAGGTTGTTTTATTTCATAGGTATATTGATGGTTTTGCAAAAATTAACTAAAGTGACTTTTTGACTTGTTTAAAAAATTATATCCCTTCTCCAACCCGAAATATTTTAGTGGTTAGCAAAACGTTTGATTTATTTCACGATATGTAAAAATCGCAATATATAGCATTATTTCCTATTCACTATCATTCTTACGAACTCCAACACGGAAGGTACTCCTTGAGAACGTTTCGAGAAACTTGGTCTGACAAAATAGAAGCCGGAGAGACATACAATTTTTTTTTACTATTTTCAACATCTTAATGAAAATGATGTTGGACTATTGTCTTATCTTGCAAAACATTTGAAATCATTTGTTTTTACACCTATCTTCATGATGGTTTTTTTATCCAGGTCATCATAAATCAACCTCTTCTAGGGTCCTATTTTAACTGATATGTCAAATTATTTATGGTAAATCAGAATTATTTAAGGTATTTACAATACGTTCCTGTAGTTTCATCAAGATTGACCTACCGTGCCATTAATCTGAGTATCAAAATTCAGGTCAGAGGTCAAGCAAGTGTACATCTCGGTACTTTATTTTACTTTTACTCAAACAATTCATATTTGAGATTACAATGTTACGTGCAAACAGAATAAAAAAAATTTAATGACATTTTTATAGCTTATGTCATAATATGAAGTCAAATAGTAAACTTTTTTTAATATTTTGCGCGTAAGGTAACGCTAACACAATAATCCACAACAGTAATTAACAGTATGTCCAAAATGTTCCTCAGTATATCTTGTTGAAATTAAATTTGCTGATGTATTTGAAATATCGAAAATTCAAACTCTTAGTGATATTACCCTGGTATAGATGGAATAACACTATCAAAAAACAACAACAAAAGCATAACCTTATTCATCCAAATCACTGCTATCATCTGAAACAATACATAATTTTCCACACTTTTCAACGGAACCTAAACATGAACAACCAACAGCGCATTCTATTTTCAACTTTGTACAAATTCGGCTCTTTAAACATTTGGAGGCTTTACATTTCATGATGCAGATTTAATAAGCTTTGGTTTTGGTGTTTTTGTACACATATTTGGAACAAGCCTCTCACCATCCAGATATCTGTCAAAGTCTGTTAGTATTGGTAGTTGTAGCTCTGTGCGTTTTGCACGATGGTACAACAACACTTGGTAAAGACATCTGAGGACATTGAAGCAAGTAAGTGTTAGCGCATTATACTAAGACTGTTAAAATCTGTTGGTATTGGTAGTTGTAGCTATGTGCAATTTGCACGATGGTACAACAACACTTGGTAAAGACATCTGAGGACATTGAAGCAAGTAAGTGTTAGCGCATTATACTAAGACTGTTAAAGTCTGTTGGTATTGGTAGTTGTAGCTATGTACAATTTGCACGATGGTACAACAACACTTGGTAAAGACATCTGAGGACATTGAAGCAAATAAGTGTTAGCGCATTATACTAAGACTGTTAAAGTCTGTTGGTATTGGTAGTTGTAGCTCTGTGCGTTTTGCACGATGGTACAACAACACTTGGTAAAGACATCTGAGGACATTGAAGCAAGTAAGTGTTAGCGCATTATACTAAGACTGTTAAAGTCTGTTGGTATTGGTAGTTGTAGCTCTGTGCGTTTTGCACGATGGTACAACAATACTTGGTAAAGACATCTGAGGACATTGAAGCAAGTAAGTGTTAGCGCATTATACTAAGACTGTTAGAGTCTGTTGGTATTGGTAGTTGTAGCTGTGTGCGATTTGCACGATGGTACAACAGCACTTGGTAAAGAAATCTAAGGACATTGAAGCAAGTAAATGTTAGCGCATCATATTAAGACTATCAAAGTCCCCTTTACTATACAATGAAACGTAAAACAACCTTGCTTCAGCTATGAGTTCGTCAAAAGCATGAAAATCATCATTCTTTCTAAATTGTGAAAGATGTTGAAGAGATTCAACGTGATGCAAAAAGTTAGTGCAGCTAATTAAGACGTAAGCAGATAAGAGCCTTACAGTTCTTTTAGACTTGCTTCTTACTTTGTTGATAAATCACGTACAATCTTGTGAATTGCTAATAATATATCATTTTTCCGAATCCAAATTTCCATTAACGGTAGAAAACAAGAATGATACACGCAAAACATTATTATGTCAATTTCAGTGCAAGAAACTACAGCTCCTTTAAATCCCAGGTTTTTTGCACAATATGCCAGATGAGCGATAATCCTGGTATCAGCTTCTTCATGTTGTTCATAATACAACGATTCAAGAGTTGTCTGTGCTTCTCTTCGTAAGGCAACATACCTAACTCTGTCAAGAAATGCTCCTCCAAGTATTATTGTTATTGCTTCGGGAATAATGTTGTTAGGTTGACATGAGAAATGCGAAAAATATTCCTTCAATACAGTTGTATCAGAATTGTCAACTTCTAAAGTTTTAACTCTTTTAAGTTCTAATTATTCAACGTTTTTCTTATGAGTGTAGTTGCTTCAGCATGAACGATTACACTTTGATCTCTTACTGAGAAACACACTGGTTTGTCATGTACCAGTGCCAATAATCTGTAGTGTACTCCATATTTGCGATTTTCAAAAGAAATACTAAATGTTTCCATGCTTCTTTCAGTCAAATTTTTCATGTTTTCTTCTATACTGACCTAAAAAACTACACATTTTGGCAAATCTCTTTTAATGGCTTTGGCCTCTTGCATGATATTTCTGGTTCCTTAATGATCTCCTGTTTTAATGTATCTTAAATTAACCTGGAAAATAAAATCCGCCACCTCCATCATCATAAGTCAACGTAATAAGCTTTGCTGCTGTATCTAAAGTAAAACGTCTATATCAAAGTAAGAATGTTCGTATTCGATGACGAGGAACCCACTTTGAGACTAATAATGGTTGGAGACGGCTTGAATGGGTAATTAAGAAAAACTTTACTATACGTCTAACATAAAAGCAAATGTACAACGTTTCGACAAGGTTTTGTCATCATCGAAACGTTGTACATTTG